GCCTTTCTAATTTGTTGTGCCTAAGTATTTGTTTCTGTAAAACCTTAACAAACAAACCATGAAAGGCCAAACAAACAGACCCACTCCACCACTATCCCACAAGCCCTCAACCATCTTCATTTACCTCATTCTGCAGTCAAATTGCAGTTGGTGGCAGAGAATCTTCTCTAGTTTTTTTTTCTTTTCTAGTTTTTTTAAAACAGGGTGCAAGGATACTTTTGCAGTTAAGACTGCGGAATCTGGAATTGTTTTTACTTTAATCTTATAGTCTTGTAGATTTCCAAATCTGTTATTGTATGTTGCATTCTCAGTACTGATGAGTATCTGTAAAAATTATGTGACCAAAGTGCTGCATAAAACCCAGCATTTTATATGTAGGTTAGTAATTAATAATACACCATATGCTAACTTTACATCATAACAATAATTTCTTTTGTATATCTAATGTTGGTAACTGGTGTTGAAACAAGTGCCTCCATGTGGCTAAAAGTGAATTCATGTTTTGTTCAGATCTGTGACATATCTTATGTTGCAAATGCACAGTTCACGCTGCTGAATTTCCGTGGCAAGGTCTGGAATGAGATGATCTGTAAGATCTATTCCAACCCAAGTGATTCCACGGTCCTGTATATGTTAAGTTGTGGTCCAGGCTCTATAAAAACCTGAATTTAAAAAGGAAAAAAAAAGTATTACTCATGTGGCTAGATCAAATAAAAATTCATGCAACAGCAACATTTGCTGTTACTGTTCTACATCTCAAATTAAATGTAGCACCGTATTAGTGGATGTTCCTTTGACCAAATCACTTGTAACTATTAGAGTCTAGGCTGTTATTTTATGGGAAATAAATTGCGTTGGGCAGTATAAGTCAGTGTACCCCCAACAGCTTTTTTGGGAAAGCAGCAGATACCTCCGTATCAACCCCCTATGCACCCATAAGCTTTCTCAGTCCTATTTGATTGAGCACATGTTTAGCTCCTAAAAAAGAAGCAATAGTTTACTTATCCCTATTAAAGCTTTACAGATAACTCTCGCAAAAATTCTCACTGGAGTTTTTATCTTGTTGTTCCATTAGAAATTTTCAGAAGTTGCAAATGGGCATCCAGGTTAAAAAGGCCCAAAATCTTTTTATGAGCTTCCTGCTAAGCTGAAAATACTGCAGACCAACAAATTCCAGAGCTTGCCTATTAAAAATTTTTTTATTGGTGATGCTTTAGTAATAATGTACAAATAGCATAGTGAAGTTCTGTGTTTCAATCAAGAGTTTTAAGCATTTGATCAGTAATCTTGCAGCTCCTCGGGCATGTAATCTGTTACAGTTGAGTACACTGAAGATGATAGTTTGCAAAGTTTTCTTTAGCTGTTTTCATTATCAGGTTACTAATAGATTTGCTCATTTCTTGATCTTTGCAATACAACTACAGTGAAATCAGTCTGTGGTTTGTTTAATGTACACAAGATAAGAGCAAGTTTTCACATCTATGTTGTTGTCTTAAAAACAGAGCAATACAATCCAGCTTCTTCTGTAATACTTCATGGGGAAGAGGAATCATGAATGACTGTATAATTGGCAACATGAATTCTCTAATGTGACTTTATGATGTATGCCTGTTCCACTGAGTGCTGCTCTGAATGGTAGCCACTTAGCTGTCAAAATTTTGGCAGTAGCTGTAGGAAATCCTGTAAAAATTGAAAAAAACTACCTCTCATCTAATGAGGAGGAAGATGCAGCCACTGAGCTGAATTTACCATTGTAGCATATTAATATCTTGCAGAATTTAAGGTGTCATTCCATGAAACAGTCCTAGCCTGCTGTCCTGTAATGGTCTGGAAGAGATACAGTCTTTTTCTGAATAAAAAGAAACAAATGAGTAGTGGTTCCTGGCTCTTTGATGATTTACTGTGAACAGTAAGATAAAAATCTATTCCACACAGAAGCCATTTGTTTGTTTTGGTGATCCTTCTGTTTTTCCAGTAAGACCAATGCATCTTAAATGCATTCAGAAATGTAGCAGGCATCTCATTTCTCTGAAAGCAAGATACCTCCAAATATTTTTCAGTCAAACTTCAGGTAAACATTTTTCTAGTGTAAGACAGCAAACTAAAGATTTGAAAGATGATCTGGTAAGGGTAACACTCACACAAATATTAAGATGAGTGATTTTTCTTCACAGCATACAAAATGCTGAGTCAGTTGGTTTCTTATTTTTGTTTCAAAAATGAGGTGTATTAAAGAAATGTCAGTAGTATTTCTGAAGTAAATTTACGTATTAAGGAATCTGATTATGTGTGTCAACGTATTTTTATTTATCTGTGGAGTTGGCAATTTTCTTACCTCCTTACTGAAGAAAAGGATGTAAAATACCATTGAGTTGCTTAGGACAGCTTTTGTTTAGTGACTAGAGCTACTTTGGAGACAAGCTGGCTGTAATTAGTGTTGATGCCCTTCCACATTGTCCCTTAGTTGTAGTTGCTGTTTTAAGAAAAATTTCTTGTTGTTTTCTTTTTGTTTGTTTTGTTAGATTATTGTTGCCCCACCTTATCCTGGTTGCTCACAGCCATATTGCTTCTGTCAGTCATAGGGAATTTTCAGGAATTTTTTGTGGTGCTTTTTATAGTATACACAGTAGATACCCTAGAGCTTTATGGGGTCTTCAGAAGCACTGAGGCTGGCAGGTGAAGATAAAGAGCTTACATGTCATGATGCCCCGTGGGAAGCCACTATAGAAGGCTTGTTGTGCTGTTGGTACTGTGTGCTATGTATCAGCCCAGCATTCTGAAGAGCTGTGTGGTGGTGTGCCCAGACACCAAGCAAACCACAGTGCACCAGACATGCTCCCTCCCTAAAGCAGCTAGACACAGTTCTGATGGTGCCAAGATTTGAAAATATGGCTTCATTGCATTACAAAATAGACTATGTTTATTAGTGCAGCTGGTACTGGTTAATTTCACCTTTCATTAAGCTTTGGCAACTTGAGTTTTACTAAATTAAGTTGTTAATTTTGAAAAATCCTGTGTAAATGACTCTCTCAAATAATTAATGTTGCCATTGTTTGTTTTTTTCTGATGTATTCTAGTCTTTTCTCCCTAGCACGTGAGAGGGCTGTAGAAGGTGTTATGAATAGAAGTTGAGCAATGGCACACAATGAGCAATGTAACAATCTGTTGAGTGTTGTTGTCCTATGTTTCTGTGTTATAAGTGATTTGGACTGTGAGGAAGTGAGAAGCCTTCTGACAGGAAAACAAAAAATCCTATGAGGCTGAAAATGGCTTCTGTCCACTCTGAGGAGGACAAACATCCAGAACATTCTGGCTATGGATGCTCCACATAGCAGTTGGTTTCCTGTGGGTTTGTATAATCCTGTGGCCTGAAAACGCAGTTGATTAGTTGCAGTTCTTTTAGACACTGATTCTGGGGGAAAAAAAATGTCACTTAATACACCATTCTGACCATTCTGGCAGCTGCAGCGTAAGTGTGAAACCAGAGGTTTATGTTGTGCGCTCAGTAGCAGGAGAACATGGAGATGCTTATTAAACAGTCTTTTATGGGAGCGTCTGAGCAGAGTGTAGGAAGGAGTGCACTTCCTTACTGGTACAGTAGTTACCTCACAGACTTCTCTGCTTTCAAAGAGGACTTAGGGTGAGCTGTGCCCAGACACAGCTTTTAGGTTTTTTTATAGGAAACTCATTGGCTTGTTCTAAAAGAGAGCTAAGGAGTGAATAGCACTTCACCTCACTGTGGATGTTCAAGGCGACAGATGATTGGAATGAACTGGAAGCTCAGTTGTTACTTGACAGGGCAGTCATTCATACCTTATTGAGGGTATTTTTAAGTAAAAGCTGAGACGTTCAATTTATGAGGCTGTTTCTGAGGATTATTGAGATCCCACATTTTTGATACCAGAACTCTAATGAAGAACTCTTCAATTCACATACGTCATGTGCCTTGCAAAGGCACTGTGTGACTTAGTGGTTCCACTTGCATTATCAAGGATTACTTGGATTTTAAAAGTTTGAATTTTGTGTGGAAGCCCTGTTTCTCCTGTGTATATCTTGTTCCTTCAACAGTAGAGAAACATCAGATGACAGAAGAGGTTTCTTGGCACAGGATTGTAGCAGTTTCTGGTTTTGTGTTTGTCTTTAAGGAGCTGTCATAAGGGAGCTGCATATGCTGTTTATAATGATAAGACAATAAGGGGTTTAAGTTTGGTAACTTATGTATTCCAAAAGCTAAGTGAAGACATGTAAACTTAAGAAAACTGTATTTCTCAGAGATTATAAGATTGAGCAGTTTGTTTATCTAGCATTGTGTTGTTAATACCCTTAACTGAAGGTTAACTTTGGACTTTGTGGATTTTAGTCTGCTGTAATACTTGTAGTAATCAAGTTGCTTTTCCCCACCCTACCCCCTGACTACCTGACACTGCCATGGTATGTTATACTCAACCATTGCATGTTAAGAAAATATCCCACTAGTACTCACTTCACAGTTTCAGCATTTATTTTCTCTACGCTTAAGAGATCTTCCTCCATTTTCTTTCTCAGAAACTGAGTTTTAACTGTTACAGCCCACAGCATCAGTTTATAAAGTGATGATTTTAAAGAAATCTAATGTAGTAGAACTTGGTCATTAAATACTTAAAGACGCTGTAAAGATTTTGAGGGAGAAAATTCTTTTGTCTACATTTCAGAATTTGTTTGAATGCTTCTTTAATGTAATTTTTCCTGCTAGATAGGATTGTTCTTAAAAACAAACCTGATCCTCAACACTGATCCAGGCATGTATGGTTTGTTTGTGTGCTTTAATGAGAAGGAAGTGGACATTAAATTACTCTGCTTTGGAACTGTTGGTATAGCTTTTCACCCACTCCCTCTGTTTGACAAAGGATTAAAATTATTTTAGCCACTACTGCATACTTCTGAGAATTAATGTTGTTCTACTGTTGTCATTCAGCATATGTTGTAGGGGTGTTTGTGCCATTTCTGCTTATTTTTTTCAGCGCAATGCGCGTGCTGTTGTCCAAGTTACCACGACCATGGATTGTTGATGAGAAAAAAGATGATGGTTACACTGCCTTACATCTGGCAGCTCTTAATAATCATGTGGAAGTGGCTGAACTTTTGGTGCATCAGGTAGGACTCTTTTCTCAGGAGGATTTAAATGTCATGCTTTGGTTAACCATCTGATGTGAAAATAGTTGGCTGCTTTGCACATGCAGTTGCAATGCAGAAGCAGTGGAGGAGGGAAGGACGTGTTGAGCTCTAAAGGTCAGATTTGCCTTTGAGATTGTTAAAATGGCCTAATGGTGCAGAGGGACTGAAAAATTGGATGCCTAGTTTCATTCAGCAGATCAACATCTGTACAGAGAATAATTGAAGCATTTAATCACTTCTGTTCTCAAATCCTCTAACTAGGAATTATATTCAGGGTCATAGTCAGTGTCCTAGTGGACTGTCTTGCCTGTAGATACATTGCTGGGGTGATAATGCTCTAATGTTTTGAATATCTTGCAGGGCAATGCTAACCTGGATATCCAGAATGTTAACCAGCAAACTGCTCTTCATCTTGCTGTTGAACGGCAGCATACACAAATTGTTAGGGTAAGTATCTTATTTCAGTAAGCCATATGGTTAATGGCATTTGACTAAAGCTGATGGCGGCTGTTAAAATATGAATGCTTCATGAACATTCAAAAAATTATTTGACAACATATAGTCACTGCATGTTTGTTTGATTGATTTTGTTTAATTCAGAAGCCTGCCAACTTGCACAGAAGGTCAGTCAGCAGTATGAACGCCACTTGAGGCTTGCTAAATTTTTGTACATGTACATTATGGTTTCCTCTGTGTGGTTGCCAATTCCATTCTTTTTTAGTAAGGAAAAATGTGTTCGGCTGTTACTCGTCTGAATCTTGTGGTGCTGTAAGGGGATCTTCAAATAGCATTTCTGATGTGTCTTGCTGTATGAGTAATTGTTCTTGCCCATAGCTTTTGCAAATTGTAACATGGAACATCTTTTTATTACCTTAACTACTTTTCAGTCTGTGAGTGTTTGACATTTCCTGCTCTTAACTTGGGAGACCTATAAGCAGTGAACAGTAGTACCTTACTGGTGAAAGGAATGCTATCCTGGTTTTTTGTTTGCATGGGTGCAAAAGTAAATGCTTCAACTTAAATCTTTGTTACTAGCACAGGAAGTGTGACTGGCATAGCTTGCTGTTTCTGGCCTGTGTGCACTGTCATACAGGACCTGTATGACTGTTTGCCTTGCTACTGTGGGCTTTTGAGGCTCAGAGAGAGCATTCACTGCTCTCAGAGTGGATACATCAACCTGGCCTTGGCTTTTGACATAATTTTTTTGCCTTTATAGAGTGATCTTGTATGAAAAGCTGTCTCTTATTCAGGCCTACACAGAATTGTCCCCTGCATTCTGTTAAGTGTTATTTTACCATAAGGTTTCTCCCTCTCTGAGGGCTGATGGGTGTGATCCCGTTACAGTGAAACATGTGATATGGCCCTATATCTGGAGCTGCTTGCTACCAGAAGAATGGTTTCCTAGAGTCAGTGCCACTTGCATCCTGCAAGCTATTTGGCAGCTGTGTTTGGTGAACTCTTGTGCCCTTCTGGAATTTACACAGTACCTGGGAATACAATATTAATGTAGCAGATGAGCAGGAAGGCATGTGGAAGAACTAGCATGTGTGTTTGACTGATGTGCTTATATCTGAGAATGTTTAAGTGAATGACCCTGTAGAGTATCCGTTTTTCAGAACTGGATTAACTTTAAGAAGTCCTAAAATAGCTCATGCAGCCATGCAAAGAACATGTTGGCTCCATATTTCAAAACTAATTCCTATTGGATACCTTCCAGGGCTGGGTTTGTATCCTCAGGCATTTGTGGAATAGTGGTCAAAGGTAGCATGGTTCTTTTAAGAGTCCTCCTGTCTTGACAAAGGGCAGTGGTTTGCCTTTTTTTTTTTTTTTTTTTTCTAATTTTTTTTTTTTTTAACTTCTGCAAAATCTCTGAAGTTTTGTGGTAGTCAAGGATTCCAGGAGAAACTCAAAGCAGTAAAGAGCTAGTGGCAGACACAGGATATGAATATGAGAAAAGAAATTGGGCCAGAGTAAATCCATTTAGAGAGTGTAAGAAGTTGAGACTAGACTGTCAACTATTAGCTGGTTTTCTTGGTTTCACTTGTGGAAGAGAAGGTTGGGGAAAACGATAAGCTGCAAATAATTGCAGGCAGATACTTCCTTGAAAACTAGGCTTTGAATATCTTTTAGCCTGTTCTGAATTCTGAGGTTCTTTGGTTCTGAGAAACTGAGCTCCTTGCAAGTATCTGTGTTCCAAAGAGGGAGATCCCTCTTTGTATATTCCTGGTTTTAGATGCCTTTTGCCTCTACTGCTAATCCCAATTTTGCAGAGTAGCAGAAGTTCAAAAATTGAAGTTAAAACTTCAGCTGCTGCCTACAGGTTTCTGAATGGTGACAGTGATGAGGTTTAATTTTTAGGGGCAGTTGGTATTTGTTTTTGTCAGTATTTATTGCTTTGTTTAGTTCAACACTGTATTTAAGAAAGTTCTGGTGGGTTGAATTATGGAAGGGCTGTATGCAAAGGCCATAGGAATATAGGAGAGCCCGTGTAGCCTTGTGCTTTTTCTGTGTCCTGTGAACAAGAACGGGTGTCTAAAATTAGCTTTAGAGACAAGTCTTACAGTTCATTACTTTCCAAAGTGTTCTGAGAGAGTTTTTAATAGTGTCATTGGTTTTTATGTCTTCTCCTGAATTAGGGTAAACCAAAGTACATGCTTAACTACTTTGCTAGTGCAAAGACACTGTAAATTAAGTTGTAAAGTTTAGCATGGTGTGAAAGTCATGATTTTTGAGGTCAGTGAAACCTAATAGTAAAGAGTATATACCTATCTCAAGTATTGTACATATTGCTGTAATAAATTACATTGTTTGTAGGCTGTCTTATAAGAATTAAAGTCTAAGGAAGAAGAAAGAACCCTCTAAAATTGTGTCTTTTGTAGCACTCAGAGCACAGGCAAGCATTAGTCTTCTGCTGAAATAAGCTTGGTATTGGAGACAGATAAATGCTTTGGTTGAGGGCTTAGCTCCAGGTGTGGAAAATAGATTTAAATTAATTCAACTGCGAATTGTAGAAAGATAGGAATAGCCCTAGAGAATGCTAAACCATAATTTTCTGAAATCAGTTCTGAAAGGAAAAAATAGGCAGTTTTTTTTATTTTTTAAATTTGGGTTCTCTCTCTCTTTTCAGCTCTTAGTCCGTGCAGGTGCTAAATTGGATATTCAGGATAAAGATGGGGATACTCCCCTGCATGAAGCCCTGAGACACCACACCCTGTCACAGCTCCGCCAACTCCAAGACATGCAAGATGTGGGCAAGGTAGATACTGCTTGGGAGCCATCAAAGAACACAGTAAATAAAACACATTTATTTATTCTTTTTTTCTGCCTGTATATTTGTCTCTCTGTCTAGTTCTGTACTGTCAGACTGGTTTTTGGCAGCATAAGTTTATGTAGACATTCTGCATTAAACTGCAGTGTAGGCAGAAATCATGTTCTCTGTGGCTTTTCACATGAAGTCATTACCTTTTTTGAAGAAAAAGATGGTTGTGTACCTCAAAAATATTTCTACAAATTAATCTTCTGTAGTGAACATGTATGACTGCCAAAAAAATCAAAGTAGCTGTTTTGGAAAGAGAATTAAACAGTGTTACAGTACAGAATAAGACTGAAGTAGTTTTCTGTGATTCAGCATCTTGCATGTCTTTATAACTTTAGTTGCTTCTATAACTTTCTGAAAGTATGTTCTGTTAGAACAAAGCATTCTTAATTTTGTATGTTTATTTTTGTATATTTTTGTGTGTTTATTTATATTTTTGACAGAGTTCATTTCAGAAATTGTGCTGTAGTAAGGAAATAGTAAAAAAGCCTCCAGGTAATAATTTTACCAAAAAAAAGAAACTCTTACACCCAAAAAGCTCCATGAACCCCATACATAGAGGTGAAGTTTATAGTTTACCTGAGGGACAAAGGAGAAATAAAATTATGGAGCAATTCAGATTGAGAAAAGGAAACAGTTTGATCAGAGCTGCTGAGCCATTAGTTACCAGTATAATATTTTTTCTAATTTTAACTGAGGGTTAAAATTAGGAAATTTTTTCTTGTTGTTGCTTTTGCATTTCATTAAGAAAAAACAAATATACCAACTTTATGAAAAATCTTTGTTCAAAACAATAATTCCACTGTACAAAAGTTTTTTTTCAAATTGATTACTGAATCTCATTGAAATATACCAGAATAAGCTTTGAAAAGCATTTGAAGTATGACTAGCATGTGTAAGAAAATGCATGTGTCCTTTTTAATGAGACGAGAAGAGCGGTTACAGCTCAGTTGTTTCTGTGATCTGAAATGGACTCTGGGAGAGCTGTCTAGAATGCTTCATGTTCATGTGTTTAACTGTGAAATGAATAAAAGCGAAGTTTTTTTCCTCAGATTTGGCATTTCATAAATTGGTTTCTCAGCCCAGTCTTATTAACGGACTCCACCATGAAACTAGAATTGTGTATTTAGTTTTGAAGGTTTTAACAGAAGAAGCGGGTTTTTTTTCCATCACCTTTTACATTTCTTTTGGGGGGTATTTTATATTTTGGAGAATAAAGTTTTATCTCTAGTTGAATTTGACAAGTATCCTTGGTTTAAAACAAAATTGTTGTTTTTTTTTTTTTAATTTCTATTGAAATAATAAGACAAAGAGCAGGCAAAAGATATGAGAAAAAAGAAAAAGATTCCTTCATCATTGTGTCTCTGATCACCTAAAAATATTTAAAGTTTTAAAAAATCACGATCAACCAATTCCTCCTATCCTTTATTAGCGTGACCAAACTACAGGTCATTTCTTTGCACTTTGTTTAGCTGCAGAGAAAATTTTTGCCAAACTATCAAATTTGGATGGTTTAAGTGCTGTGGAGAAGAATAAGTTCTGGCAGAGAAGAGATGAAAACTTGCCTGTTTTTATTTTATGTGAAATGTAAAAGGTGGAGTGAATATTCCTGAAAACACTTTTAAGATGATCAGCATATCAAATTATCTTGAAAACTTCTTGTGAAAAACAGAAAATGAGAATAATACCTGCACCTATCTACCTTTATTTAAATGACAGTAAGTTAAAAATTCTGTAAACTAGATTTTGCCATTAAACAGTTTTAAATATTAAGCGGCCTTTGGCCCACAGTGGAGTATCAATAAAGACAGAATCGAAGCTGTGAAAATATGTGCAGACATCTGGACCTTTAAAGCTATCCAAGGACATATTGGTAATTTGTCTCGTGTGGAATTGCAAATACAGGTCTTTTTATGGACCATAAATAGGATTAATAATTTCACCTGGAATCAGTAAGGCTTTCTTTTTGTAAATGTGGTGACTTATATTGAGGGCTTGTTTTGAGAGATTTTTTTATTATTCTTCATTAATTCCTTTAAAGGTTGCAAAATGCAGATTTCATTAGGCTATGTGATAGCAACACATCTCTGTAAATATTTAGTTTCTAGAGCTCATTTTTCCTTGACTAAGTTTTAATTAATTTTGGACTGCTGTCTTGTGGAGATTCCAACCTACTGAAACCTGTAGGGTGCCTCTTTGTATTACATACATATATAATAGAAATAATTATTTATATTTTTGTTTCAGTTGAATAAACTGAAAAGAAAAATCTCGCAGCATTTTAGCGTTTTTTATACTTGATGGAGTTGGTTGGACAGCAGTTCATTGAAATTGTATGATTTGTTACTTTTTACTTTGACCACTGTTTAAAATATGAATCAATACTTTTTACTGACTATCATTAACTTTATTCCTACATGGAACTAAATTGAATTAATTACTTAACATTAACTTTTTTTTTTAGTAGTTCCTTCTGAATGCCAACATTATGCCTGTTGGAGCAGGCTCCCCAGGGAAATGGTCACAGCACCAAGCCTGCCAGAGTTCAAGAAGCTTTTGGACAATGATCTTGGGTGCCTGGTGCAAATCTTGGGGCTGTCCTGTGCAGGGGCAGGAGCTGAACTTGATGGTCCTTGTGAATTCCTTCCAACTCAGGATATCTTATGTTATGCATAAAACAATTTTTGTCAGGTTTCTTCAGTTGATTTTTTTGAAAGACTCTTTAAATGCATGTAGTGAGCAATCTTGATAGTACACAAAGCCCTGCTCATTTTAGGTACCATTCTGAAAAACATTTCTGTGCTCAAGTACTATGAGCACTGAACCTAATGTCTTTAAATAATTTTTAAGTTTTCCATCCAGCATATTGTTGTGATGGTGCAGCTGGGAGGAGGAGAAATTTTCTGAAGTATAGTCTCCAGCAACAAAAGAATGTCATTTGAATTGCTTTATTGCAGATGTGCTGTTCTGGCTTAGATTACTTTTTATCCTAAATAATTATTATTCCCATGGTCATTTAGTATAAATTATTTTAATATACAAATGTCTTTAAGGTGTCTTTCTGACCCTTAAAATGCTTTTAAGTGATGCCACTGCCTAAATCCTAATTTAAAAGAAAGAAACAAATGGAAAGTGTTTACTGCTCCAAAGTTACAATTACTTAGGTGCTATTTATACAGTTTTTGTGGATTGCACAGAGACTTCTCCCTCACTGGTGAATTGGCTGGGACTGGCCTGTGTTGATGCATTTCAGGGCTAGACCCCTCCAGAGGTACACTGCAGCCATACTGGGCACTGAGACACAATAGATAATATTTTGTTCATGGGTTGTTTTGTGGTGTTCTCATTCTTTATGCCTGAAAAGTTACAGGCTTCCTGAGAAATGTCATAGGATGCAACGTTGTCCTGGTGTTTTCAAGCTGTACAGTATGCAGAGGCATTTTAGGACCTAGGGTTTTGTGACTAATGTAGATTACTGTTCCACAATGACTCGCCAACCTTGGTGCAAATCAGTTTCACTGGGTGCTGCCTTGGCTGGATTAATAATACAGTCCAAAGTACCAGGACTGAAGCGGGATCAAAATTTCTCCTTTGCTTCAGACAATGCTGTAATTGAAGTGCAGCTAAATGGTCTCAATTGATAAATGAACATTTTCTGTTATTTGAACACCACAAAACAATTCGTATCCATAACTTATTGATTTTCGTGGAGCTTCCTTCGGAGCTGTACTGTTCTGAGGAAGAATGTAGGAGGAGTATCTGAATTCATAAAGTGACCTTCAAGAGTCTTGTAGCCTCAGTGATACATATTGATATAAGAACTTCTAATTTAAAAAAAAACATAGACTGAGGTTTAAAAAAAATGCTTCCCTAAGTTACTGGATTTCCTTGAGTTGTAGCTGCCCTAGCTTTGCAAAAGCTCTGCCTTTGAATGCAGTGTAGTGTAGTTTACTGAGGGATTCTTAGTGATGCTAGCAGTTCTGTAGTCTGTTATAGTTAATGCATTTCATCTGATCGAGCGAAAACATGCTGGGAGCCCGCAATGCTCTGGGGAATCCACTCCTTGCTGGGCTGTGGTAGTAGGCCTTCTTAGTGTTACTAGCTGACCTCCGTGAAGCAGTAACACAAGGATATAGTAACAGCTGTAAAAGGGCAAAGTAACATTATGCGATTAGACAGGGACAGTGTGTGAGTTTTAATCAATCTAGGCTGAGAAAGACTGAAATTCAGTTACTTTCTTGGGCAAGTAGATTATTTGCTGGACTAAAAAGTAGATGTGCATTCATTTATGTGCTCAACTGTGGTTTCTGTCCAAATGCAGTGATAGCATTTTGTGTGAATTGAGCAATTTGAGTATATACGGAAGTGTGTTCTGAATATACCCACTGGAACTTTGCCCTTTACAGTGCTTCCATAGAAGGACAGCCACTTCATACGTGAGTATAGGTGTACAGGAGATTGAGTGCTTCAGTAGAACTATTCCCTGCTGAATTTTAGTTCCTTAAAGGAAAGCTGAATATAGCTGACTGAAAATGAAGCAATTGTTTTGATTTTAGTTCTAGAGATGCTTCCTTTGGCTTACACATTTACACATATATGTGCATGTGTGCATGTCAAGTAGCTTTCTTTTAGCCAGACAGTCGTTAATTGTTTAGAGTCATTCTTGCTTACGTATTTGTTTTCTTTCAGTTAATAATGGGACTTGGCACTCAAGGAGCAGAGAAGAAGAGTGCTGCATCGATTGCCTGCTTCCTGGCAGCCAACGGGGCTGACCTCGGCATTCGTAACAAGAAGGGTCAGTCCCCTCTTGATCTCTGCCCTGATCCAAGTCTCTGCAAAGCATTGGCTAAATGTCACAAAGAGAAAGTCAGGTTTGTATATTCATAAAATACACAGTTTCCAAATGTCTGCTTTCCGCAGATTAACTGAGTTTTTTGGGAATTTTTTGTGTGTGGTTATTTTTTTAAACTTTTAATTATTTAGGATTTTACAGTACACTGAATGCTATTCATAAATACATTAATTGAAACTTACCGAGGTCTTATAGGACTTTCATGCATATTAGTATGGCGGAGGGGAGAATGGGAAGGTGTGACAGTCTTCGGGGAGGATTGGTAGAACTTCACAAGGCAGTCGGGGGAAAATCCCTGGAAGGAATAGCTAAGCATTGCAAACAGGTTGGCCTGGAAAGTTGTGAAATCTCTGTCCATACAACTTCTAATGACTGAAATGGGCAAAGCCCAGTATTAACATGTGAATTCTGTGTTGTTGCTGCTTTGAGAAGGTCATCTACTGCGTCCGTGTTAATCTGGACAACTGTATGATTCTGTGAAAAGAGAACGAGGGGGTAGGTCTGATATCTTCAGGAATTACAGTTTCAGTGAAATACCATGTTATCAGGTCCATGCAGTATCAGAGGATTCATCTTGTCCTAGTTACGCTCCACCCGTTGCCGCAAATGAGTCTCATCTTTAATTCCTGTATGGAAATCAAAACTGCACTCTTAAAATGTGACGAAGAGAGGCTGTTTTTATTGATGTTGCCCGGGTAAAGAGTAAGGTGCTTATTTCCTTTCGGAGCCTGTGTGTGTCCGTGGCTCCCCGGGCCCGTCCCGCGGCGGAGGTTGGGCACGCGCGCCCTCTGCGGGCCGGCGCGGCGCGGAGCTGCGGCCGGGGTGCGGCCCTGCCGGGCCTGGGCATGGGCGAGGCCCGGGGCTGCCTCTGCCCGGCACAAGGCGCTCTCTGTTCGGAAAGCAAGCTCTTAGGGCGAGAGGGAGGGGCTTCTTACGTTCACAACACGATATCCTGACTTGTGCGTCCTGTTTCTGAACAGTGCCTTATCCGAGTGTGTGACCTTGCACTACAGTATCAACTGTACTTCTTGGAAAAGGCAGTTCAGATCGCTTTATGATCATACATTGATGCCCAAGTGCATAGGATACATAAGCAGCCCGTTGATGTGCATTTTAAATGGAGTGATTTTTTTAATTATCGAAAGTTTGACACAAGGCTTCTTTGTAGTGGCCAGGTTGGTTCCCGAAGTCCATCTATGATCAACAATGATTCTGAAACCTTAGAAGAATGTATGGTGTGTTCAGACATGAAGAGAGATACTCTGTTTGGCCCATGTGGCCACATTGCCACGTGTTCTTTGTGCTCACCACGGGTGAAAAAATGCCTCATCTGTAAAGAACAAGTTCAATCTAGGACAAAGGTAAAAACCTCTGAAATTTATTGGTTCTCTTTCTTTTATAATGGAAAAGTAGAAAAAAACAGGGGAAAAGAGGTCAAAGAAATGTCCATCTTCTTTTATGTGGTATTGTGCCTTAGACACGTCTCACTGGATGGAATTAATTTTGCTCTTTTCTGTTTGCAGTGGGTTGGAACTGGAGTATCTCTAAGGTTTTTTCCAACCCAAACCATTTGATGAGTCCATGATATATACAGCTTTCACACAAAAGGACTAAGAAGTTAGAAGTTCTGGGTTAGGGTTAAGAAACCCTAACCCAGAATGTTAAAACATTTCTGTAAAAGTACCTTTTAAGTGAATTTCATAGGATCATAGCATGTTGGAAGGGGCCTTTAAAATCAGTAATGTTGACTGACATCTAGTAGCGTGTAATGAGCAGGGACAACTTCAACAAGATCAGGTTGCTCAGGGCCCTGTCCAGCCTGACCCTGAATGTTTGCAGGGGTGGATCATCTACCACCACTCCGGGTAACCTGTTCCAGTGTTTCATGACCCTCATCATAAAAATTTCTTTCGGATACCTAGTCCAAATCAGCTTTCTTTTAGTCTAAAACTATTACCCCCTGTACTACTGCAACAGACCCAGCAGAAAAGTTTGTTCCCATCTTTCTTATAAGCCCACTTTGAGTACAGAAAGGCTGTAATAACTTATTCCTGGAGATTCTCTTCTCTAGCTTGATCAACCCCGATTTAAGTATCCGTGATGGAATAAAGAAGGAGAAAATAAGAAATACATTGTGTCCTAAATGCTTCTCTGTGCCTGTCATTGTACTGAATGTGCAAAAATTGCCAGCAAATACCTGTTTTTAGAAGTTAGTGTGAGAACTCATTTAAGGTGCATTTTGAGATGCTGAATGAGTTAAAAACCCCACTAGATGGAGATTCTTGAAGCCTGTGTGCCTTGCAAATTAATGTAGAGAGCAGGAGATGCACTTTGCTCACATGGGTGTGTTCTTTTCAGATTGAAGAATGCGTAGTATGTTCAGACAAAAAGGCAGCAGTGCTCTTCCAGCCTTGTGGTCATATGTGTGCCTGTGAGAGTAAGTAACTTTACAAAACCTCTTTTTGAATTTAATTGTGAAACAGAACATTTTAAATCAGATTGCTAAAAGCATTAGCCTGTATGTTTGTGTATGTCTTGTGTTCGGGTTAACAGCGACAATTAGTAATCTGATTTCAGGTTCAATTTATGTGGTAGTCTGGTGTGATCATCAGAATTTTGGCATTATTTGTCATGCTGGTAATAATTGGAGGACAGAGTGGAGGTTTTCAAGTCTTTAGAAAGCGTGTCCTGTTTCATCTATATTATTTAACTGTGAGTAGGCTTTCTCACCTTATAGAAGCCAACTGAATGTCAGTAACACTTTGGTAGTAATTAGAATAAATTTTATTGTTTTGTTGCAGCTTTTTGAAGGCATTCAGATAAGCAAATAGTGTTTTAAAAAACTATTGTCAATAAATATTTAGTATGCTTCACTGCTAATCTACAGATTTGCACGAGGGCTGTATTTTGCCCCAAAAGTCACATCATGTATCTTTGCAAAGAGCACCAGTTTCGATGATTTATCTTGTGTAATGGTAATAGGCAGGAGATCTCTAGAAATTTTTTGGTTTTGAGTATATGAGGATAAGAATGCAGCTATCACCTTGTCTCCAGACATTTCAGGGTTTTGTTGAAAGGTCATTTCCCTGGAGAAGAGCAGTCCTTATTGATGAGGATCTACACAAGAGGGATGGTAATTGTTCCCATGAGTAACTGGTTACTAGGACTTGCTAAGGAAATCTGGTTTCTTCCTCTGTTCTGGCTGAGGCAGCTGACATCAAATCACTGACTATAGTTAGCCTGATCTGGCCTCTTTCACTGTCTGCAGTTGAAAGATGATGAGAGTAGTTTTTTTGAATCATTTCCCAGGAAAGAAGACAACAAAAAGATTGATTACTGTGGTGAAGGATTTCAGCAGCACAGTACACCGTACCAAGTCTAAGCTGTAACAAGGACAGCAGAAGGTTTAACAGTTGAAGATTATTTCTTTCCAGATTTTTTTCTGGACATCTTGTTCAGGCAGGATGAAAGTGTCTTCAAGTTTGTGTATTTTGTAGGATCCACTCTCTTGAGTCACAGTACCCTTTTAGCATTTGTGAGACAATAACTTGCCTTTAGTAGAAAAATTACAGCCCACTTTCTAGGATTATATCAAAAGATGTAAGTCTACTCTTAAGGGTAAAGAGCTGCATCTCTTTGCCCCTGGAGCATGAGAACAGTTAGTGAGGTTCTTTGTTCTAAAGAAAAAAAGCAGATAGGCTGAACATACTTGGAAGTTCTGGTCTCAAATGTGTGATTACCTTTTAATTTCTGTAATTCTTGTGGACTAGACATCCATCTGGAGAAAGAGGAACCTCTTCCCTTGAAATGTTTTAAAAGGAGATAGGGATTAGATTTATTTTGAATGCCAAACAGGACATTGTTTAAGTGTGATTTGCAGAAAATAATGTGAAGATAAACTCAAGTAGTTCTTTGTATTATAAGCATCTGTTAAATCATTGCTGCATAGTTACTCTGAATAAGCAAACTCATGGATAGAAAAAAAGAAAAACTAAGTGGGAAGATTCAGAGTTACTTTATTTCTCTGTTCTCTCAGATTGTGCAAGCTTGATGAAGAAATGTGTACAGTGTCGGGCAGTGGTTGAGCGAAGAGTGCCTTTCATAATGTGCTGCGGAGGGAAAGGTACAGAAGATACCAGTGATGATATTTGTGAGTGACTCCAGAGCCCATACTCTTTCATGTTCCTCCACCAACTTACTCTCTTAAATGATCTAAATATTTCTCTCCTTTCTGAAGAAAAGCTTAATGAAAGCAGTGCTATCAGTGCTAACAGTGCTGTTTAATGAAAACAGGTATCCTTTGCTGTTTGCACTACTTTCTGCATCGCTAGCAGCAAATGTGGTAACACCACCAGTCATTACAGTGGAGAGTTGCTTCCAGCATTCGGAGTAGAATCCAAAACCTGTGTGATGACTTGGCCACTTACTAATGCCCTAAGAAATAAAGCTGAAGATTGTCTGTGGTTGTGCAAATGAGTAAATAATTTTTTTACCTCTGGTACTCTGAAGTAATGGTAAGTATTTTGCATCTAGGTACAAGCAACTTTCCTGAGGGAATGTCCAGTCTTACATCCCCTCCTTTGACTAGTTTTTTAAATTCCTTGGGACTTATTTGAGTAATTTCTTTTGCTCTGTGTGTGTATAGTGGTACACAGTATTTCAATTGAGTTTATGAGAATTGGAATATTAGTTCATTCTTGTCATAGTGTTCTGAAATAGATAAATATAAGAATAGTCATTAAAATCAGGTTTTCAATACTCACACTGGGAATCCAAGACTTGACAATTTTTCTTTCATATAGTCACACTGCTCCCCAGATCAGTCGAATATGGGAGTATTAATCTGAGCTTGCTGAAATTTTGAACAAACTGCTTCCAAGACACTTGGGCAGATGTGAACACCAAATAGAATCATCTAAGTCAAGATAAAAAAGTCATTTCAGTGTAAAGGAACTTGGCTTTTTTTCCTTTAAACCAATGCAAAAAATATTTATGTCAGGAACTTCACTGACAAATAAGAATTCTCAGAACATTAAGGGACTACAACCATCATTATTATGGAAATACTTGTCAAAGAAGTGTTACCACTAAACTCAAATAAATTTTTTGTTGAGCTGCCAGTGATGGTTAGTTAATTTAATTAGATTATCAAAGATGGTTGACTAACATTTTTTTCAGATAATTGAAAAATTGTAGCTGTGACCTTGGAAATAATTATTCCTGGTTCATTAGATTGCTGTGTAGTCATGTATCTTTATTTTCTTTTAATCTTACAGCAAGTGGAAACATTCCAGTTTTGCAGAAGGACAAAGACAACACTAATGTCAATGCAGATGTACAGAAGCTGCAGCAACAGTTGCAAGACATCAAGGAACAGGTAAAAGTGCTGGATAAAAGTTGTAAGAACCATTAAGTTCAAGAACCACTTGATCGAAAAAGCCAATGCATCCTCTACTATTTAAAGCAAAATGAAATGTTGAAGTGCATCAGGGTTAAACTGTAGTTAGAAGACCAATATTTTTTGTGGGATGTGACTTCTATGTCCTCTATGTACAGGGTTAAAAGAAAAAATTGAGTGGTCATGTTTGATAATCCATCTATTAGGGCATGTTGTGTTGATGTGAGTAAAAAGTTATGCTCTTCCCAGTCAGTACATTCCCCGACTGTTTAGCTGACCTGAATGTGTGGGTACAGCAGAAGCTGTTTTCACAGAACAGTAAAAAAGTAGATAATCTTCACCATTCTGTATCTACCTTAATCTTGACTTGTTTGTTCATTAACTGCCTTGGAACAATAGCTGACAGTTATCTGTCTTATGAAGGGTATAATGAACACACTCTTCAAAATCTGTGTAGCTGCAAGGTTAAAACTTTGAAAGTATTATACATGTAATTCAAATATTTGAAATTTAAATGTTAATGTTTATCTTCATAATGAGGTATAGTGTACAGAGGTACAGTTCTTTCAGCAGTAAGGGATCTGGAGCATCTGACTACTAGAATGAGCTTACTCTCTTCAAGCCCTGATAATGTGACTTTTTTCTTCCATGTGTCTAACACAATTGGAAGCAACTTTTTATGGATACAGGAGACTGAGGTGTTCTAGCTTGCCTTTTCCTCTAGTAGGCTTACATCAGTCCATAATACTTCAGTGGTGGCAGCATCACATCTACTCCTGGTAGTTGTTGAATTCAGCCGTTCATGTGCATGAAAGCCAGAGATAGAACATGTAGATTGCTAGTTTTAGGGCCTGTTTTTCTAAGTGCCTTAAATTTGAGAGCTGATATGCTCAACTGAATGTCTGTGAAGGGCTTTTCCTGTCTTGTGGTGATTTGGCCAGCACCCCAGTAAAAGAAATTCAAAAGTTTCCTGTGTAGTTTTTGTCTGTAAAGAACGTGGAAGATTGAAAATTGTAATTTGAAAATGCATGTCTGTCTTACTGGGCAACTTCAGATGTTACTGTCATCTCTGATGGCTTGCATCCACTGGATAGTTTCTGCTTTACTTTTTAGCATTGAATGGAAAGCATAAGGTTATTCTTTTGGCATTTCAAATAATACATGCAAAAGATGCCAGATGCATGCTTAAAAGCTAGTAATCTGTTTTCTTCAGATACATTTTTTCAGGGTACTTCAGGAGTTATAGAAGATTAGAGTTCTGTTTGGGTATGCTGATATTCTTATGTATAGGCACATGAAAAGAAAACTGTGTTACAGTTTTTCTTCTTGATTAGATGTGATCTCAGGTGTTTGTTTTTGGGGTTTTTTTTGTTAGTTTTCCTTAGGTGCTGGTTTATTCTCTCTGATTTTATCTAACTTGCGGGATTTTGCTAGCCAGCAGCCAAAATTGTTCAGTGCCTCTGACTAGAAGGAGATGGTTCTGGTCATTCCTGGTGTGCCTCTTGGCTTGAGACTCTTGTGGTTTTTTCAGTGTCTTTTGTGCTTAGTCTTGTAACAGGACAAGTTGTATCATACTTGTGAGTAGCCAGTTGGGTTTGATTAAAATTTATCATCTCATCTTTTAAATTTGTGCTTGAAATTAGGCATAGCATTCCATTAGAATTGTGTATTCTTTTGATTTGTGCTGTAACAGTTCAGTCTTTGTGTTCAATTGATATTTTTCTACTTAAAATTAATTTGTTCTCTCTCAGCAGGTATAAGCCTTTGTTTCAACTCATACCTTCAATGATAATCTAATATGTTAGTGCAGCAAGCTTTTAAAACTATTTCTGGTGCCAAGCAGAAGTGATGCTGATGTCAACAGAATCTCCCACATCTGATGACCACACCATTCTTCAGGGATTCCCTGAATGTGAACCCTTTTGACTGTAATTGCAATACCTTCACTCCATTTCATACATAATCATCATCATCATCCATCTAATATCTTACGTATGTTCCTTCACCATACTTGCATCACTTTCTTCTTCCTTAAAAAATAAATTTATTTTGTCACTGTGCACCTGTATATTGTTGTAAAAACTGTTTTTCATAGTGAGGAACTGATATTTCAAGCAGTTTAAAACACCTTGTTAGTGATAAAAAAATTATCTAAGTTGCAAACTCAGTTATACTTAAGGTGCAGTGGGCACTTTGCCAGAGTACTTACCTGAAGAATTGTCATCCAGAACAGGCATAGTGCCTTTTTATACTATTTGTTTTCCTTTGAATGATGGGAGTCAAATTTTGCAGGCAGATAAAAAATGGGGTTTCATGCAGAAGACGTTCTAACAAATAGTACAATCGTTACATGTTCTGACTTCTTATCTTCTGCTTCCCAAAAGGTTCATAAGGCTTGCAGTGAACTTGGTGGTTAAATAAGGAGTTGCCCTTCAGAGTTGGATAAAACTCAGTTATCTGGGCTTGTATCCCACTGGGAGACTGCTGAACTAATTGAGAAAAGCCTGTCACAAGAGAATTTTATAGCAAACAGGAAGCTTGTTATTCTGCCAGCTGAGTCATCCTACTGTGTGAAGTAACTTAAGTGTTAAGATAGTATCATATTAAGAAATTAAACAGCTAGCCTATTTTACTGTGCTTCTGTACTAAGCAGGAGAAATAGGGCAGTTTTCTAATACTGCATGACTATAAAATGAAAATGTTGGGATTTCTGTCCTTTACTGAATGAAACACTTCAAAGTAAGGGTGTTTCAACAGATTTTTTTTATTATTATTATTATTTCTGTGTCCCTTAATGGATGTTTTCATTTTTAAATGATGGTGTACCATTTGGAGATAAACAGACCCTTGTAACTTATGTAATTCTGATCCTTTATTTAGACACAAAAGCAAATAATAAACCAAAACATAGAATAAAGGCTACACATTGGGAATTTTCCCAAAGATAAGATGAGTGTTTGCTTTGTCAGTCCTTTGTGAAATGTCATCATGCCAGTGCTGCCAAGTTATAGACGCATGTCACACAGCTGTGTATTCACTGCATTGGAAATAGCTGTTTCACTGATACCTTAAGTCTGAGAGTTACTGAAGGAGGAATACTCTAAAGGTCCTTTTGATGTGCAGGATATGAGGGTGATGATTTTATGAGAGAAGAAAAATGAGCAGGACTGTCTGACAAGAAAGGTTTCTGTAAGTTTTTAATTAGAAAATGTTTTGTTACAGTACTGTGGAAATTCTGGCAAAGCTGGAGCACACACCCCCGCCACCTTCAGGGCTTTTTTTAAGCATAAAATGACTTAAGGTTTTACCTGGAAGTTTTACTTTCTTGCTAGCCCATGATGCTAGTATCCTGGAGATTAAAATAATGATTTGGCCAGATTCCATGCCAATTTAAACTCTTAAGCACAGAATTATGATGAATTTTTTTGGTCTTCAGTTAAGCTATTTACTCTAGGAAGTAATACCTGTTGATTTCATAGAAAACGTGCTCTAGGGTTTTTCTGAATAGGGTACCTTGGTATGGATTCTCTCATGCAATGAACAAATTGAAGTGAAGCCCCAGTGATGAGTACAGAAGCAAGTCACAGGTGCAAGATGGTGATAAAATGAATTTGTATTTGAAATACGAGCCTTGTCAGTATTTCATGTTATGTATGAAATCAATGTTTATAATTGTTAGATATATGTAGTTTGTCTCAGATAAGAGGACATCTTAGATTTGATTTTTTTCTATAGTATGGTGTTATTTTCATCTGCCGTAACATCTATTCATTTACTAACATTTGATAAACTGTTATAAATGAAATCCTAATATGGCTGCAATATGTTTATGGTGAAGGAACATGCCATATGAAAGCTTCAATTTCTGCACATGACAAAAGTTGAAGGACATTGTTCCTTAGTGGCTTGGTGCAAAATGAATTTTGCTGTTGAAGAACTTTGGGCATTGACCATCACTTCACGTTCAGCAATTAAAACTGATTTTAAAAGTTTGCTGTGCTGCTGTTATGAGTGAAGGTTACAGATTTACTAAACTGTTCTTCATTTGAAACCTGAGGTGTTCTTTTGATTGAAAGTCTAGATAATTTTCACAAAGTACTAAATTTTGCATATCATATTGATTATACAACATTTTTATTCCTTCTGCGGGTGTCGAGTGTTTGGTGTTTACAGGTAAGTATATGAATGGCTAGCTAGCCTGAGAAGAAATTTGTAAATCATTACCCAAGCATTGCATACATCAAGCTGGTTATGTTTTGTTCCCTGGAAGATTACATTATGTAAATGAGAATATTTCTGAAGAGTGTTTCAGTGTTGCACATTTGCATAATTATATTGAAAATATGATGTCAGCCTATTACCGGATTGCCTTAATTAAAGAAATCATATTTAGAAAAAAATCTACATAGTTGTTTGTGTCATGATGGGGTAGGAACAGCCTTTATATTTTAAGTCCATGTGGAATAAAAATGGGATTTAAAAAATATATAGTTTAGTGGCCATGGCAATTATCTGCTATGCTTAGGACATATTTGTTGTTGAATTTCAGCAATTTATATGTTGCATATTCAGTACCATATAACTACTGTCACCGACTAGTAACCTGTCAAAATCTTTTGCAGACGATGTGTCCTGTCTGTTTGGACCGCCTGAAGAACATGATCTTCCTGTGTGGCCATGGAACATGTCAGCTTTGTGGAGACCGAATGAGCGAGTGCCCCATATGCCGCAAGGCAATTGAACGGAGGATCCTTTTGTACTAAACAGGGGCCAGGGTCTTTTACTATGTTGTGAAAGAGTAAGGTCATGCTGATGGTTTTAACCCTCTATTAGTTTGAATGGTAGTAGAGGGTTCTAATGAAAACATTTCTAATACTGTAGCACAGGTTTGTTACATAGTAATTGTTTAAAGACTGTGAAAGCACCAAATAAAAGAAACAAACAGTATTTGAACAGTCAGCTTGTAGCTTTACTCTTAAAAAACGTGTAAGCCTAATGCTAATGTAAAGCAGTCTTTTTTTCATTTTGTTTCTGTCTTCTTCTTAAAGTTTAAACGGACAATCTTATTTTGGTTTTGTTCATGTGTATCCTGTATGTGTCAGATGTCAAGTGATGTAAGGGAATTTTTTTTTTTATATTGTCAATTACTACCAAACATAAACATTCAGGATTTTTTTTTGCTTTATGCTTTTTATGTGTCAGCATTTCCTATGCCAGTTCTGATTCACAATTAATTTGTCTTGAAATACACAGCCATGAAAAATCAATACAAAATATATACACAGTAATAATAGATAGACTATTCCCATGAGGTCATGTCTTAGAATGCAATGTTAGGGTAATTCTGACTTCATGCCCTTTGTTCCTGAGGATGGGTTGTATAGGAAAAATTTTTTTTAAAAAATCTGTTGATTGAATATGATCTGTTGTGTAGAAACACACACATGCAGAGCCGTTTAAAAATTGTGGATCTGTGAATTCAGAAAGACCAGATTTTGTGAAATTTCCTTTGTTTATAAGTGAGTTTTATTGTCTTCAGGCAAACAGTGTCAACAGCAAAAGAGAATATTTAATATTGATTATTCATCTAAGTGGGGTATTAACACCAGAACTTACCTATGAGCATTACTGAGTAATACTGCAAATGAAGATATTGCTGACAGAGCAGTGAATTTTGTGAGCTGTGCCTAGTTGAGCTGAATTTTGCTGAAGGAGTTTGTTTTCCCTGATATGATAAGGAGCTATTCCTCCTGACCCCCAAAATGCTACTGTTACAGACTGCAAACTATTCACTTTTTGAAAACAAATGTATCTTTTCATCCTTTTTGGTAGTAGAAAATATGCTGATTTAAGGGTTTCTTGTAGCTAAAAGGAATCTCTGCTTACTCCTAAGTGATTGAACAGTTTTCTGAGTGCATAGTTCATGTAGCCCATTGCCATTGTGCAGACTTCATTTGGACATTTCTGCTCTTGCAGAACATTAAAGAAATCCATGCTGGAATTACTTAGGTGCCTTACTTGCAGCTAAGATGAATTTATCATTGAATTCTCATTGCTTATGTCTAAAAATGTGGATAAAAGGATAGTTCAGGGAAAGATCCAAGAAAGGATAATGTTATAATTGTGGTATTTTCAGATAAATCAATCTGTCTTCTGAAACTTATGTTGATATGCCTGAACTGTGCAAATGTTGGCAAATGTCTCAGAAGACTGTTACTAATAAACTGTAAAGATAGACAAACCTTTAAGCAATAAGATTTAAACACTGAAAAAAATTTTCCAGGAAACAAGTACAGTGATATATTGGAAAAGTCTGTATAGAGGGACTTTTAACATCATGAAGTGGTGTAATACACAGCGTTACAATAGTCATCTTTAATCCTCATCCAGCATTCCAAATGTTCCTCATTATTTTCAGTGTTCTTTCATTGGACACAATCACAATCTGGAGTCACTGTAGTCGTCTGGTTTATTTTGTATACTAGTGGTCATTTGTTCTCAGATAATGTGCATCTGTATTCTTGACCAAATGAAGCAGCCTTCCCTTGTTTTGCTTCTTGATTACTATTCTAAAATACCAAAATTTCAAGGAGTTTTGGAAAGTTTTTGATGCAAGGCCTTGTTTCAGTTCAGCATTTTGGTATCTCCACTTGAACTCTTTGTGCATCTGAGTGTTCATTGCAATTTTCATTTGGCCAATACATACTAAGGTTTTTGGTTTGTTTTTTTGGGGTGGTGTTTTTTTGGGTTTTTTTTTTTTTTTTTGGTAGCATGTTTTACAGCTGAACCTTTTATAGTAGGCTTCAGTTTCTTGTCAGAAGTATTTTCCCCTGGAAATACTTCTGTAATAGGATATGCCATTTAATGATCTATTCTGAGTTTTCGCCTGTCATGCATCAGATTTTTACCTTGATTTCCTCTGTCTCTGGCAGACATATTTTGTTCTCATAATTCTTTAAGGGAGCCTCTGCAAAGTTGGCTGCACAGATGCAGGGTGGATCTCTTCTTGATAACACAACTCAAAACTGAAACCTCAGTAGAGCAGTATGCATTTTCCTGATTCTTTTTTGCTGGAACAAGCCAGAATTACTTGAAAGTATTCCAGCTTAGCATCAGTTAAATAATTCAGCTGAGTTAGAACAGATCTGAAGCATCCTGGTTAGGAAACTGGATGTAAGATGCAAGTTACTGTTTAACACCCTCAGTACTTGAATACCATCACAGTCCTCTGGAAATGGAGACAACGACTGAAGGTATTGCTGTAGGAGCAGCTTTGTGTCCCATGCTGCTCTCACAGCAGATGTATGTGACTGCATAGGAGCTTGTGATTGGACTCATTCAGCAATGTTGTGTGTGTGCCAGTTGAAACTGAACTGTGTCAGCTTGGTGCTATTTTGGTGCCAAGAAAAACATCTGAATTAGAAAAACTAGGAGGGCTAACCAAGATGCTTGATTTATTTATATAGTTCTGTTATTGACAGGAGTATTGTATCTTGTCTGGAGGTGGCGATACCTCCTTTCAAAAAACTTAAATGGGGAAAAATGCTTGCAAATCTGGTATCATTTATGGAAATAAATATTTATATTCAGACCCTCTCTTTTCATTCAGATGTAGAAGGTGAGCTAGTGTTAAGGAGCCCAATAAGCTCATTCACTTTATTTTGTGGTTATGTGTGCAATGTGCACAGAGTACGAATGTTTAATTGGATAGCACATATTTGAAGGATGAGAAGTTCAAAGGGGATCATAACAAGTAGGAGAGCTAAGGAAATATCACTGTGCATCTGTCTTCAGCAAAAGATTAAAGTCTAAATTTCACCTGAGCAAAGTAAAAATTAGAAAAATCAGTTGGGCATTTAATTTATTGTAAAATTGTAGAATGTGAGCGTTGTAAGGTTTGTTATGTCTAGTGCCCAGCATTGAATAATAATTTTGAAATTAAATGGAATTAAATATCTCCATTTTTTTCTTGAAACAAGATACCTAAAAAATATGTATTGTTCAGTGTGAGGTATGCTCAGATGTTTAAGTAAAATGTTTTCTTTGCCATTCATAAAGAGACATTATATCACTATGCAGGGATTTAAAGTGTAAAGACAACCTAAGAGGTTAACAGAATAAATTTAGTAGTTGTATGTGGTAGTATATGTACTACCACAGTTGCAGATTGTTAACTTTTGTATAACTACCTTTGACTTTTTTTTCCCTTCAAAACTTGTATCATCACTTATTGTGGCCCAAACTTATATGGCACTTCCCAAAATCTGGGCTGCTATTACCTACTTTGCATTTGTTGGATTACTGTGTATTTATATGTTGGGGTTTGGAGAAATCCCTTTTTCCTGAAGTGGATAAAAAAACTACACTGGTGAGATAGCAAACAAGTTACTTTGTAAATGTGAAAGTTTGATTAGAAGGTGGTGTTCTTAATTTGGACTGGCTGAGAATATAGCAGATTTGCACAAGTACTTGTGCCTTGTTAGCATAGTCTTACAATTGGTATTTTAGCTTCTTTTAAAGACCTGAAATGGTCTTTTAAAAATAATTAAGTACTTACTGTGTAGATATTTTCTAGACATGAAGGTTTATGTATGTGTAATTATCTTTAGCAGTATTAATTGCAGTTAGTGTAAACACTAAATTGTTTGAAGAAGCTGCTTTCAGCTAGTGATCTGAGCTTCCTCTACAAAACTAATTGTCAGAAATTTAATTTTACTCTTCCAGTAGCAGCTGGTGAACCGAAGAACCTATCCTGTTCTTTGTGCTGCATGGGTCAAGTTTTCACTTAAAAAAACCAAACCCCAACAACACTACAGTCTAACTAGCAGTGCTACCTCCTTTCTGTCAAAGTGCTGAATTCTTCTGTAGCTGTTTGTTGTCTTTGAAAAAGGGTGGGAAACGCATCAGTTTTCTTTTGCTTCATCAGTTTTGATGTCTGAATACATTGCAGAGGTTTTTTTACTTTATTAAATTACTGTGTAAATTGCATACAATAGCAGTGCGTGATTTGCCACGAAGTACATTGTATTCCTGTGCATAAATTGCTGGAATCCAAAGTGTTGTCTTTGTGTGCATTTCATACTTTATTTGTGTTGACAAAGCTAAACTGTTTGCAGAAGCTTTAGTGTGTGCCATTTTTATAGCTAAGCCTGTGGTAAATACACAAGTTCTGACTCAGGGCTTTTTAACAACTTAAACACATTTACAATATTCTTCAGCACATCTTGGAGAATACTAGAGATTTAATGACTCTACAGTGCCTTGATAGAACTATTGAATGGGCAGCAGCCATAGGGTCTTCACAAGAACACAAGTATCTTCTCAATCCAATTAATGAGTTTATGTTAATATAGTTGTAATGCCCTTGCCATGGATTTATAAACTTGTATATATTTTCTGTAAAGGAAATTTGGAAAATTTAGATATTGCTAAGCTTTCTGAAAGCTGATTAATTGTTGCACTGGTCATGAGGATCTGAAGGGCATCATATTAAAATTTACAGGAGCAGCTTTTGTGTCAAAGACAGCTGAGAAAATTTTCTGTATGTGACATTTTTAGTGTGAGGGAGAGGTCATTGTATAACATGTAAAAGTACCTGCTTTATTTTGATCTAGGAAATCTTCCGTAAGTGAGAGAGAAATAACCATCAACAAATCAGTATGTTTGCATGCCATTTCATAGTTAGAAAACTTTGTGTCATTTTGAGCTTCTAGGAAATACTTAATTTGTCCAGCCTTAGTGTCTTTATGAATGCAAACTATTAATGGTAGAAAACAGGTTTTAATGAATTACAACAAACATTTTTGCTTTTGTTAAAACTAACTTTGTATTTTCTGTAAACTGTAGATTTTGACATGACTGTTTATTGGAGAAGTTTAAGATAGCCTGTGTGAGTGTACTGTATTTCTGTATGCAGATAGCATTATATACTTGCTTGTTTTAAAACTGCTTAGCAATGTCTAAGCTTTTCAAAGGAAATGCTGATGTACTGTATGGTTAGTAAAACTTGTCATATGAGATGTATACTGACTTTTTCAAGAGCTTTGATTTAAAAGAATAGTTGGACTGAATTAATACTGATTTTTTGCACACAACATTGGAAAAGGGGTAGTGACTCATTTGTCTTCCTCCGTCTTAGTTGTAATGATGTTAGATGTCACCATGGAATTTGAAATTGGATACCTGAAAAAGTATTTGCAAACTTGGTTACTTGTTGGCATACAATGTTTAAAAGAACACCAGACATTATTGAGAAATTTTGCAGTCCAAAGTTCTTAAAAAACCTGTTTCTTTTATAATATGTTCCTGAAGAATGAATTTGTGAAAGCATCAGAAATGCTATGTGCCTTTGAATCTCCAAGGTACTCAAACATTGTTAAAGCAGCACAGTAGAAATTCAAAGGGTGGATTATTTTGTAACAACAGAAAGATTGATTTAAAATTATCTCTGGATTATGTGCAAATTTTTCTGTAAATACGTAGTACTGTTCTACTGACCTGAGTTGCTGTTAAGTGTATGTTAGACTCTGTGTTTACTTGTAAATGAATGGCCTTTACAGATCTGGCTACGTGAATGTGATCATTCAAACATCTCCTGCCAGATACAGTAACTTCCATATTCTGAGACAACAGATGCTGCATCATGGTTTGTACTTTTAGGATTCAAGTGCTAATGGATGCATTTGTAAAAAAAAGCAAAAATCTATGTAATCAAAGGCAACAAAACCAACCACACTTATATGGCTTAGTGTTTTTATTTGTCCTAGTATACAGGTGAAAAAAGGAACTGACAGAATAAAAAGTTTGTTGCTCTCTTTCTCAGTTTCTTCTCATTTTTCAAGTTTCTTCAGCCTTGGTTTATATGATAGGTCTGTATGAAAACATAGTGTTTTCAAATACTTCTGAAAAAAAAAATTAATAATTTATGCAAATTGTTGAAATATATTTGAAGTAGCCTCTTGTTCTTTGCTTTGGAATTTATGAACTCTTCACATATTTCTCCTTACATGTTCATTGAACATGATGGGAGCAGTGCTGGCATTGGTTGAAAACTTCTAGTCTCAAGGGTTTCAGCCCCTGCTGTTGATTGTAGTGGAACCTGGAGGTTTTGCTAGTATTTGGTATTGATGGGTTTAGATTTTGAAAAGGCTGTTTCATACTTTACCATATAAATAATTATAGTAATTTTATAACTACTGTGTAATGCAATTAATTTCTGTACAGTGCACTTTGCTCTTCTAAGTCATTCCAGCTATATCCCATATGGGAGTGGCGAAAGTGCATGGAGATCTCGTTTGTATTTGACATTAATCAAGTGCAGAGTTCCTCATGGGTGTACTGTGTTTCATGTAGGGGGTAAAGATTAGTGGTAGTATTGGAATAAAAAAGCATTAGCCATTCTTTTCAGACTTGGTTTTCCACCATAAGGAAAGGAAATACATGTAGTCAGAAATAAAATTGAAGTTCTTGTGGTTTGTGCAGCCCTGCTCATGACAATGACATACATTGGAAAATGATTGCTTTCAAGAAATGAATCATACCAACATTTCTTGATACTAAGAAGAAGGTTTTGGCTGAAAAAAACTTCAGGGTTCTAAATGGTTTCTTCCCTTTTCAGCAGAGTAGTATGTCCTAGCTTTCCAGAAGATAGTAAGGTTTTTGCAGTCTTTAGAAGTGATGCTATGATGGATTAAAATAGTTTCTATTAAAAACTGAGAACTGTGCCAACTGGCAATATATAAACTTTAGTCTTCAACAATGCAAGACTTTAAGGGAAAGTCATTGCAGTATCTAATACAATTGGGACTTAATGACACTTACGTGACTGCCCTAGAGAAACTAATAAACCTAATTTCTAAAATTGCCTGAAATTGTGAAAATACACTTGTGAGACTATAGTGACCTCCTGCAACATTAACACTATTTCACTGAATTTTCCTTAAAAAGTCTATGGGAGATAAGGAAACAATTCTGAGCCAGTTTCCCCACTGATGTGTCTACAACCTAAAATGTGTATTTCTCCCACAAGGGGTCAGTAGCACCCTCCATTTGGCACCACTTTTTATTATAATATAAGCAGAAAGCAAACAAGGGATAAGGACGATTGCATTAATATGTGGGTGGACCAGACCCAACTTGTCTCCTTCAGGCAGGCTAAGTATAATTAGGTTATTTGCTGACTTCAGTAAGGACCATATTCTGTCCTCTGACTCTCATGTGACATGAACATTGCTACTATTGATTAGGGCAAAGTTCCAGTGGAGTGTTTGCCTTTAGCTCTAGTTGAAAGTATTCATTTAGTCAAGCTTTTTTTCAAAAGCATGCAGTTGGAGCAGATAAACTGTAAGAAAGAGCTTGTCCAGCAGACAGGGGGAAAAAATTCTTGTATGAGTGTCCCACATATTCTTAATGATAACCACAGTCTCCCTAGATGGCTAGAGCTGATTAGTATTTTCCACTCTATAGTAACACAGCTTGTAGTTAAACATGCTTTGAAGCCTATCAGGCTGCTCAGTGGAAGGAATTTCCAGCTTCTCAAGGCTTCCCTGAGTATGCAAGTTACTTGAAGGCCCAAAGTCTGAAGTAACTCATAATCTTTCTCCCAAGAGGCTGAACAGACTAGAGATCTATTCCTTCCAACAAAAATTTCCATCCCTTAGCAAAGTCATGTTTCACAAATACGAACCTGGAGATGGTCAGTGTCATTCAGGCACAGGTTTTTACGTGTGTTGAATTTAACAAGCAGCCTTCCTTTGTATTTGCAACTCTGGTTATTCTCTCTGTCACATCTATTGCGGGGTTTGCATTTCATGTCCTCAGTGCTTCTGTCATGATTACTGAAATCCTCCATTTCAATTCTTTCTTTGTCTGTGTTTTTGAAAGCAGAACTGTGTCCCTTTCTTCTTGGTATGTCCCTTCTGAATGTCCTCCTGTTTTATGCTTAAGGTTGGCATAGGCATAGTGAAGCCCTCTTCTTGTGTCCCTAACTCCACTGTGAATTTCCTGTGCCAGGAGGAATTCCTGAATTTGGTCTGGGCATAATTTCGCATTAGTTTATTGACATCCCTTGTTTCTCTCCATTGGTGGCGTAAGATAAAGATTTTGTCTGCCACCTGAGGAATGGAAAGGGGCACTTCTGATCTCAACCGTATGAGGAAATTCAGAAGCAAGTAAACGTTTCAAGATTGTTTGGCTTTGGTGATGTCTTTTTGTCCTATAGGCCACTTGTCATTTTCATTCTTACTGTATCCTCGATTTGGTTTTTGGTGGCAGCCTAAGGGTTTCTTTTCAAAGAAAATTAAAAGCAACTAGAAGAGAGAAACTATTCTGGAGGATCTTGTGCGCTTGTGTTGCCTGGAGGAAGTTCAGTAGGTTTGCTTTCAAAGAGAAGGATCTGGTTTTGGACTTCTTGCTGCCTCCATAAAGAATTGGGGAAAGAATTCCGTCTCTTTGAATTAAGTAAATCTGAAACCACGTTCCAAGTAAATATTGCTAAGATTTCATAACCCCTACCTCTACTGTTGTAAGGTAGCATGAGGTTCTGTATGTAAGCTATAGAAACTAAATAGCAATTATATGGCATTTTTCCCCAATGGCCATAGATTCTTGCCTTTGAAATACAATACTATTATTCTTCCTCTTTTCTTCTTCTGTGATGAGACCTGTAAAATAAAGATTACTTCAGATCTATCCAGACAAGGTAGCTTTTCCTAACACAGAATCCTACTTAAGCTGTTTGTGGTACGGTCATACAATTTAAAGTATCATGCTCAAGTTTTTTGTCTATTTTTCTGTTTTATAGCACATGGCACTTAAAACACCTATTTTAGATTGATACTGGGTTTTGGTCAGGTGATTATGATTCTGTGTAAGGCTGAGGAGGTCTTCACATTGTTATCCTCTGAAACTGCATTCTCCCACCATTTCATGTAGAGGACATAGAGTCTGGAAGCACCATACTTTTTTTGTTGAGATAAAAAGTGTGCTATAGTAAGGGTATGGGGAAACTTAAAGCTAAAATACAGTCATAGATAGAGTTCTTCTGGCATTTATGAAGTGAGAAACTCAGATGGCAATTTTGACAGAAGAGTGGCACAGAGGAATTTTAAACTCTACTAAAATTTAGTTTTAAATTCCTCTGTATCCTCTCTGGAGAGCCTGTAACATGGATACATTGAGTCCTGCTATAACCCTGCCATGTCCTGCATGTCCCACCACCCTGCATAGGTCCCTCCGCACCAAATCTCCCTGGAGGAATATGTCTTAAAATTATATTAAAACTATTCCACCCATGGAGAAAGAAGACATAGGAGTTACAATCCAGTCCCTGGTGCAAAAGTTGCGGATTTACTGTTTTATTTAACACAGTTCTCTTCCCATGGCACACACTGAGGCTGTAAAAGGAGTAAGTGATCTTGATTTGGATTTTCTGTGTGCTGTGGCTGTCTGCACCCAGGCAGCAGCTTAAGGAGCTGCTGCAAATCAACTGCTCAGTAATGAGCTGTGTGAGGTGCTTGCCCTGCAGCAAGCAGAAGTGCTTTTAAAGTGTTGCAGCCAAGTAGGGTTGAGTGGGCCAAGCCCTCTGGGCATCTACTTATCCTGAGCTGACATTGCTTTATTGGTAAGTGGCATGGAAATGAAATAGATTTGAAAAGTATATCTTCATTAACATGATTGGGATACCAGACATTTAATTTTAGGCTTTATCTGCTGTGCTGAATCAAGCAGTGACACCAAAATTTGGCAAGCAGTTGTTGAGCACTCCAGGAAAGGTTAGTCATTGGCTTTTGTAGGAGTTCCTCAACTTTGAGGATGTAGTCAAATAGTCCTCAGGGGAAAAAAAAAAAAAAATTAGCTAGCAAGAGTGTTTCAGAATAGAGGGGTTTTTTTTGTTTTTTGGTTGGTTGATTGGCTTTTTTTTTTCTTTTTCCTCACCCTCTACTGGCTGGCAACTGTGTCTGGTTTTTTATTTCTCTCAACAATTTTCATTTAGCCAAAAATGCTGCCATAACTGCCACTTGACATCCAGATTTGCCAAAATCAAACATGCATCCTATATGTCTGTTCCAGCTATTCCTGACCATCATACTACCTCTCCCCAGAATATCCTTCCAAGGGTATGAGTGTATGCTTGTGGGGTTATAGGAGAGCTAGTGTTATCCTCTGTAACTTTCCAGGAAAGGATTTAATGGTGATTTGATCTGATCTTTTTCTTTCTATCTTCAGTTATCAAATGTTGAGATGCCTTTTTTTCATGTGGCATTTAATTTTAAGAGGGAGACAATGGGGGCATCATTGCTGTGCCTTGAGTTCCTGGATTTGGCCTGCCCTTTCCTACAAAAATTAGGCATGTTCACCTAAGATTGGTTGTTTTATGAGGTATAGGTATTTAAACGCTAAGCTGGCCAGCACTGCTCATAGGAATATTAATAGAGATGGCATGGAGCTGGCAGTTTTTCTAGGGAAGATAAAGAAGAGCTTAGCACATCCTAGGTTAAGCTCTTCTCTGTCACAGCAGAATGCTAAATGCTGTGTGACCTGCAGTGTCTGAAGGGTAGATATAGATTAAGGCATTTCCATGGCACAGTGCTGTGTCCATAGGAGCAGGCAGTGAGGGAAATGCACTGTATCCATGATAAAGTAGTATTTTTTGTGAGTTGGTACATTTGGCTTTTCTGGAAGGGTAAGTAGCTTGAGATGAGACCAGTAGGTACCCTAGGGAACCTGGATGTAGAGCGTTGGGTGGTGCTTGGTACTTGTAGCCCAAAACTCGAGAACAAGTTTGCTTGTGTATCTGTGGACTGGCTGGCAGTGAAT